CAGATGGGTGGCTTTAACAAAGAGACATCCGTTCCCTCAGTGTAGGAGGCTAGTGTCCGAAATCAGGGCACCGGCTCTGGGGAAAGGTTTCCTCTCTCTTTGGTTCTTGCGGAAGGCCCTTGCCTCCTTTGAACGTCTGTGGGCAGCGATCTTTGGAGCTCTGCATGTCTATTTGCATCCATCTTCCCCTGAGTCTAGGAGGTTCTCGGTGCCAGCATCCTGGGGTCCGAAGGATGCACTCCACGCCTGGCTCTTCTTTCTTAGTGGCAGTGAAGTCCCCCTTCTCTACTTGCTCCTCTCTCCTCTTATGTCTTTTAAGATAAATGGTGTGACCCAAGGGAGGGTGATGCATCACACCACAGTCCTGAACAAACAACTTAATCCTCATTGACATAACCTAATCCTGCCTTGTTAAAGTAACAGACTAGCCACTCCCAAATGGGACAATAACCCCAGAGACCCAGAAGGCTGGTGGTTCAAATCACTAGCCACTCCTCGGAAGGAAGGTTGTGCCATCTACTTCCCTAGTGATACCACCTCAGAAACCCAAGGAGGGGTTGCTCTGAGTCGGGTCCGACTCGACGGCAGTGTGTTTGGTTTGATTTGGTTTATAGAGGCTAGGATGTATAACACATTACAAAATGGAGGACAAGCACACAGTATTGGAGATCGTGACTAGCCAAGTTGACACATATTTTGGGGGGACACAGCTCAACCCATGACTTTCCACCAAGCCTTCTCCCTTCCTCACTCACACGTACACAGAGACGTTTGAGAGAAAGGAAGGCGGCTGAAGGTGTGAGTTGTGGTCATGGATTCACTGTTGACTAGGCCTTTCCTCTTCGCCTGAGTCCTCTGGCTCGCACATACCTCAGGGTTGTTGAAGCTGTAGCTAAGGACATGTATGTGAGATGCCACATGCCGGAGCACTAAAGAAATGCGTGTTGCCCGATCATATATGACTCTCACATTAAAGGGAACGCCTGGGGCACCACCAAGCACCGAATCTAGTTTGAAGGAATCATCAGGAACAGCATGTTTGCAGAGCACCCGTGGCTCAGAGCAGCCCCAGCAGCCGACGTGGCCGCCTGCAGAAGCAAGTACCTCTGTTGGGCACTTGAGACAGAAACTAGGTAAGAGAAATAACCGGGGACCAGTTCCTCCAATGCCTCGGGAAAGGTCCATGAGCATGGTCTGTGTGCCTGGGTTTAAGCTAGAGACCAGAAGTTGGATGCAGTATTGAATGTAATTAACTTCTAAGTCACAGAACTGGATTATAATCCACATGGAAACACTTGGCATGAGCAAATCTTCAAAATTTCTCTACGGTCCAGATTCGTAATCTGTAAAATAAAATGGTCTCGAGCCCATGTATTGTTTGAAAGCATTGTATTGAATATCAAGAAGCTGACGCATGCCAGTTGTGCCAGAAACCCATGTGTGATGTTAGGGACGAAACCTTCAGCGTTTTTGCCTTGACTCAGTGCCTAACTCACGATACAGCTCAACACATATTTTCAGAATGAGCAAACACGTGACAAATGTCTTTAAGTAGAAAAGGTGTGACATCAACCTGATACTGAGTGGAGTTGGAACCTCCCTTTTACAGATGTGTTAAGCATCTGTAGTCAATGTGTGGGGAGGCTAGCTTTCTGGAGCAACAGTTACAGGAAAATCAGTCTGTTGCAGACAGTGAGGATTTAATGGGAGGAGACCTCATGTTTTCTGGCAAGGCCGGGACTCTCACTGAGTTCCAAAGCAACTCACCCACCTATCTTCTCCCCTGCAGAGCCCAGGACAAAGGCGGTTGAGGTGAAGATGTACAGCCTGCGAGAAAGGAAAGGCCTCACGTACCAGGAGATTGGCGAGCCCCAGGATGACGACTACCTTTGTGAGTGACCCTCCCATCCTCAGAGGAAGTCTTAGGTCCTGGTCCCCAAACAGTTTCCTTCTCTAATATCTTGGTGAACAGAATTGAGGTGTGGGCTCTTCGCGCTCCTGTACCCTAATCCCTACTGCTCCCTCCTCAGATTGTGAGAAGTGTCAGAACTTCTTCATTGATAGCTGTGCAGCTCACGGGGCGCCAACATTTGTAAAGGACAGTCCCGTGGACAGAGGGCACCCCAATCGCTCAGCCCTCACTCTGCCCCCTGGGCTGAGAATTGGGCCCTCCAGCATCCCTGCGGCTGGGCTCGGAGTGTGGAACGAGGCGTCTGAGCTGCCGCTGGGCCTACACTTTGGCCCCTATGAGGGCCAGGTGACGGAAGATGAGGATGGAGCCCACAGCGGCTATTCCTGGCTGGTAAGATGCACCCAGCCCCCGGCCTGTCCTTGCTCCCCTGCCTCCCGCTGTGGCTTGGTAGGACATGCTAGGAAACCCTGTGGGTGATAGCCAGCTGTGTGTCCTGCGTGGTCTCTGCATGGGGCTGGAGGTCAGGCTGAAGATCAGAGGGAAAGGGGGGCCAGAGTAGACGGAGACAAAGAGGCTCCTGCCTCTGCCCTCACTAACAATCCGTGTCGGTGTAGACGCTGACAAAGGGTGTGTCATGTTCCAGCACACTGACTGTTGAACAAGCAATGAGGGGGGTAAAATCATCCCTCTGTTTATTAACCGAGGAGTGACTTCTTCTTCTGAAACTCAGATCACCAAGGGGAGGAACTGCTACGAGTATGTGGACGGAAAGGATGAATCTTGGGCCAACTGGATGAGGTAAGGCCAGCAGTGTTTGGCTTCAGAGAGCGAGTCTCACAGCCGAGAGCGGCCTCCTTTTCATCAGGCCTCCCTCAACAGATTTGACACCTCTGTCCTTTTTCTTCGTACGACTCTCTTTCAAGTCTTGAGACACTTAGAAAGGGGGGATGGCAACCTATGTCCCCCATGCATAAGCGTCTGTGCTAGACAGACGTAGGGACAGACATCGAGGCCCCTGGTCTCCCTGGCTCTGCCTGACTTCATTTCTCTAATCAACACTTATCGTGCGCTTCCTGTGCCCAGCTGACACACTGCTGTTCAGGGCTGGGCCCCACAGCCCGTGTATTCCTGGAGGCTATGGACTTACTGGAGACAGACATTAAACAGTTTCTGAAAGGAAGATTTAACTGTAATTTTCATGTATTTCAAGACTGGCAACACGACCTAAAGCAAAGGACTTTTAATCCTGGAGACCAGGAATCTCCCAGAGCGAGTGAGATTAAAGGGTGCTTGCAACCTGCGTAGGCTGAGCCACAGGCTGTTGGTGGGTGTCAGCTCATGATCTAGCCCGTCTCCTTGAGAACTCAGTCTGTTTTGGTACAGAATGAGAATGAGCTAAGACAAAGAGACGTCCATGTTTCCAGGGGACCTGGGGGAGTCAGAGAACTACCGCACACTTAGGTAACGGTCGGGGAGATTAGAGAAAGGCCTCTCAGAAGACAGCCTTGGGCTGAATGTCGAATGATGTGCAGTTACTTAGAAGCACAATCCATCACCAAAGACCATGTTCTGTGGCATAAAACACATTAATTTAGAGTCTGGCGATGCTGCAGTTCTCCGCGTCTGTAGCCATCAATGTGGAGGTGTGCATGGGCTTCGGAACACGACAGACTGGGCCAGGGAGGGGCATTGTCTACAGGGTGACCGCCGTCAGCTGGGCGCAGGGAGATAGTTGGTGTGATACTGCGAACAAGGCTCCCGGAGCGGAGCTGAGGGAGTGGGCAGAACCTTGAGCGTCAGCAGGGAGCAGGGCCAGACGCGACCATTGTGTCCGCTCCCAGCGGTCCCTCTCTCCCATCCTGTCAAGTCCAGGTATGTGAACTGTGCCCGGGATGAAGAGGAGCAGAACCTGGTGGCCTTTCAGTACCACAGGCAGATCTTCTACCGGACCTGCCGGGCCATCCAGCCTGGCTGTGAGCTGCTGGTCTGGTACGGGGACGAGTACGGCCAGGAGCTGGGCATCAAATGGGGCAGCCACTGGAAGAAGGAGCCCACCGCAAGGACAGGTGGGCAGGGGCCCCTCTCCTTGCAGACGTTCCTGGTCCAACCCGTAAGTGCAGCAGACGCCATCTAACGTCAACGAGACTCAGATCAGGTGTCCCAGAATGAAGGATCCGCCTATATGCCTTTCACTTTGGGACAATGTTAATCATTCTTACGATATTTTCCAGACTTTATTTTTTTAATACTTCAGCCACAGAACATGTAACAGTACACCGCTAGAGGCTTAAAAGACTTCCCAGGCACTGCCTGGCCAGCTCCCACGGAGGCAGTTCCTG